TGACAAATCCTCCCCCTGTGGACAATGTCCATCCGGAGAGGAACCATAAAAGGGAGAAAGCTCATCAAAGGTGACATCCATTGAGACATACCGAGAGCCAATCTTTGGATCAAAACAACAATAACCCTTCTGTGTGGGGGAATAACCAAGGAAAATACACTTGTGGGCTTTGGGTTCAAATTTATGCCTTTGGACACTTGGAACATGTACATAACAGGTGTTGCCAAAGACACGAAGAGGAATAGGAAAAAGATCCTTGTCCGAATGAAGGAGATTGAAGGGAGACTTAAACCCTAAAACCCTGGATGGCATACGGTTTATAAGGTAGGTGGCTGTGAGAACGGCATCACCTCAAAACCTTGTAGGAACATGTGAGGCAAATAAGATACTTCTTGCAACTTCAACAATATGCCTATTTTTCCTCTCAGCAACTCCATTTTGTTATGGGTCCTAACACAGGAGCTTTGATGAATAACCCCCATGTCAGAGAGATAGTAGGATAGGTTCTTCTCAAAATATTCTTTTGCATTGTCAAATCTGAAAATTTTAATCCTGGTATCAAATTGGGTTAGAACAAATTCATGGAATTGTCTTACAAGTCTTGGAATTTCATCACGGGATTTCATCAGGAATATCCAAGTGAACCGAGAAAAGTCATCAATAAACAATATAAAATATTTGTAGCCACCCTTGGAGGGTAAGTGGTAAGGCCCCCACACATCAGAGTGCACAATATTAAAAGGAAAAGATCTTTTATTGCTCAAAGGATAATTGTTTCTACAATGCTTTTATAACTCACAAGACTCACAATGAAGACTGGACAAACTAATTCCCTAAAACAGATGAACCAAACGACGATGACACAACATAATCTGACTAATAGACTCTGAAGAAACAGACCCGAAAGCAACATTCCCAGGATGATCAACGCATTGTCCCGGAGTATCAAGTAGGTATATTCTGTTCGCCTCATGGCCACTCCCAATCACCTTTTGAGACTCCAGATCCTGAAAAACACAGTAGGAAGGAAAGAAGGTTACACAACAATTTAGTGACTTGGTTAAACTACTTACAGACAAAAAAATTGTATTTAGTCTAGGTACATGGAGGGCAGAAGGTAGGAATAAGAAATTTGTAGCCTTGATGGTTCCCTTGCCAGAAATAGGGGCAAGTGAACCATCAGCTAAAGTGATTTTATCACGTCCAGGAAGCAATTCATATGAAACAAACAAGGTAGAAAGGTTGGTCATATGATCAGAAGCACTTGAGTCAATAATCCAAGGGATCTTAAGATTACCTGAAGTGGTTGCATGATTGGCAGA